CTCCTGATCTCAGGTGATCCGCCTGCCTCGGCCTCCCAAAGTGCTGGGATGACACCCCGCCCGGCCGGAAATGCTAAAGTTTAAAATCATGAGCCCTGAAAGAGCACCTTCTCCTCAGAGCTGGGGGAAAGCAGCTCAGACTTCCCACCACACACCCTCCCGCCCCTTCTTTCCCCTCATGCAACTCACAGCTTGCTTGGCTGTGGTTCATATTTGCTGGACACAGCAGGGTTAGCCATCAGTGAATACAAACGCTTCTGTGACCATCCGCAGGTGCACACCAGCACACGGTAGCTACGGGGTTTCCCGGGGTGACTGGAACAAACTAGCCCAAGCGGGGGCGTCACAAGTTCCAAAACCACAGGAATGTATCCTCTCCCAGTCCTGGAGACCAGAGTCTGAGATCAAGGTATCTCAGGGCGGGGAGGATCCTTCCTGCCTCTCCCAGCTCCTGGGGGCTCCCGGCGTCCCCAGGCTTGTGGCCGCATCACTCCAGTCTCTGCCTCCGTCTCCACGTGGCCTCCTCCTCTGTGTCTGTGTCTCCTCTTCTGTCTCTTAGAAGAACACCGGTCATTGCATTTAGGGGACACCCTATTCCAGGATGATTTCATCTTGAAATTCTGCACTCAGTGACATCCAGAGAGACCCTATTTCCAGATAAGTTCCCGTTCCCAGCGACCGAGAGTCGGCACCTGAATGTATCTTTTAAGGGGACGCCATTCACCGCACTCCAGCAGACCATCTTTTAATTTCAGCAATGATAGGGGGGCGTGCCACTATGCCCACCCCCCTGCAGGCAACCCTTCCGGGGCGCCTGAATTGGGATCGCCAGGGAAGGCCCCGCCGTTGCCCGCTCCCTAGCAGTGCGGCCCCGACTCTCCCTGGGTGACGGAGACACCCATTTGCGCTGACTCTGCCTGCCTCGCCCGGGTGGTGCCTCTGAATTTCTTTTTCCTCCCCTGCCTTTTTTTTTTTTTTTTTTTGTCACCCAGGCTGGAGTGCACTGGCGTGATCTCAGCTCACTGCAGCCTCCGCCTCCCGGGTTCAAGCGATTCTCCTGCCTCAGCCTCCCGAGTAGCTGGGATTACAGGCACCCACTACCCCCGTCCAGCTAATTTGTATTTTTAGTAGAGCTACGGCTTCGTCATGCTGCTCAGGCTGGTCTCGAACTCCTGAGCTCAATCTGCTTACCTCACGCTCCGAAACTGCTGAGATTCCAGGTGCGAGCCGCCGTGCCCAGTATTTTCTCGGCCGGAGTCTAACCGCACGCCCGTGGCATCGCTAACCAGCAACTCTGTTCAAGTCCCCATGGGGATATACTCACTCCTGCCCACACCCCTCTCTTCTCCATCCCTGATTTAGGATGTGGGTGGCCGTCCGAGGATCTGTCTGGGGAGGACTGCTTCTCCCATACCTGACGGACGTGTCGCCTTTTGTCTTTAAACCAGGTGATTTTTTCAGGGACCCCCTCCCCAGCGCTGAGCTATACGTCCTGTGCCGGATCCTGCATGACTGGTCAGACGACAAAGTCCACAAGTTACTCAGCAAGGTCGCCGAGAGCTGCAAGCCAGGTGAGAGCCCCGTCGTCACGTTCACTTTTTTTGTGAAGACGTAGTTTTCGGTTCAAGTTTTACAAGGAGGCCGGGCGCGGTGGCTCACACCTGTCATCCCAGCGCTTTGGGAGGCTGAGGCAGGTGGATCACCTGAGGTCAGGAGTTCAAGACCCGCCTGGCCAACATGGTGAAACCCAGTCTCTACTAAAAATACCAAAATTAGGCTGGGCGCGGCGGCTCAAGCCTGTAATCCCAGTACGTTGGGAGGCCAAGACGGGCGGATCACAAGGTCAGGAGATCGAGACCATCCTGGCTAACACGGGGAAACCCCGTCTCTACTAAAAAACACAAAAAACTAGCTGGGCGTGGTGGCAGGCGCCTGTCATCCCAGCACTTTGGGAGGCTGAGGCAGGCGGATCACCTGAGGTCAGGAGTTCGAGACCCGCCTGGCCAACATGGTGAAACTCCGTCTCTACTAAAAATACAAAACTTAGGCAGGCCTCGTGGCAGGTGCCTGTAATCCCGGGTCCTTGCGAGGCTGAGGCAGGAGAATCGCTTGAACCCGGGAGGTGGAGATTGCAGGGAGCCGAGATTGCGCCACTACACTCCAGCCTGGGTGACAGAGTGAGATTCTGTCTCAAAAAAAGAACAGCAAAAAAAGAAATGGCTTATGTGATTTTTGGAGGTTGGCAAGTCCAGCGTCTGGGTGAGAGGCCCGCGACATTGTGGAGGATAAATCCGCTGTATTTAAAGTTGGCCAATGTGGTCAGGTGCAGTGACTGACACCTATCATGCCCGCACTTAGGGAGGCCAAGGTGGGCAGATCACCTGAGGTCGGGGGTTTGAGACCAGCCTGGCCAACATGGTGAAACCCCGTCTCTACTAAAAATACAAAAATTAGCCGGGCATGATAGCGGGCACCTGTAATCCCAGCTACTCGGGAGGCTGAGACAGGAGAATCGCTGGAACCTGGAGACGGAGGTTGCGGTGAGCCGAGACTGTGCCACTGCACTCCAGCCTGGGCAACAGAGCGAGACTCCATCTCAAAAAAAAAAAAAAGAAAATCCTAAAGAGAAAATATATTTACCATTATGAAGTTGAAGTGGCTCATCCTAAAGGTCTTCATTCTTGTTGTCTCCACACTGAGGAGGCTGCAGAGGAGGAGGAAGCCATGGGCTGCTCTTGCTGTCCCAGGGGTGGCCGAGGCAGAGGGAAATCCATGAGTGAGGGCAGTTTAGAGCCGTGTTGCTCAAGGCTCAGCTGGATCGAACCTGTGTGTTTATACACAGGCACAGGTGCGCACACACATACATACACACACACACACACACAGGCACAGGTGCACACACACATACATACACACACACACACACACCACGCACCCTCTCTCGGCTCAAAGCCTTCATATCAGGTTTCTCCCGTCCCCCCAGGCTGCTCCTGGAGCCGAGTGGGGCTGCTGGAACCCCAGGCTCCAGGGGTATCGGATTTCCACAATGGAAGGACATGGCCCTGAGGGAATCTGGTGGGCGCTCAGGCTCCCTCAGAGTTCAAGGTTGCTGCTGCAGTGAGAATTCCTGGACTATTTGCAGAGAACACTTAATTACCTTAACAGAGCTGGGCGGGGGTGTGGGGGGGGGAGCTGACAGGGGTGGGGGGGCGGTGGAGGAGGCTCCCACCTGCGCTGTGAAACAGGACTCCCCATAGGTTCAGCTGGTCAAGAGAGTTCCATCCTTTTCTCTCCCCTCTCTCTCTTTCTCCCTTTCTCTGTGTATTATCTTTTTATTTTTATTTATTTATTTTTTTTAAAGAGTCTCGCTCTGTCACCCAGGCTGGAGTGCAGGGGCACGATCTCCGCTCACTGCAAGCTCCGCCTCCCGGGTTCCAGCAACCCTCCTGCCTCAGCCTCCCAAGTAGGCACGTGCCACCACGCCCGGCTAATTTTACATTTTTAATAGAGACAGGGTTTCACCATGTTGGTCAGGCTGGTCTTGAACTCCCAACAGGTGATCCACTCACCTGGGAC